ACTATCCCCTTGCCCTTCCTCACTGTCCTCTCGCCTTCCTCTCCCTTCTCCTCCCTTCTCCTGACTGATCCACCCAGGAGGAGGAAACCACATAGCTGTGCTCACAGTGTCTTTTAAATGATTTGGTCGGGGAGCTAGCAGGGCTCCCTGCAATCTGAAGAAAGCTTTTGGTGCTTGTCCTCACAGCCACCGAACCTTCCCTCCCCGTCCCGCCCCGTCTCCTTTCCTCCTCCTGGGTTCCTGTTGTAATAAAACAAGATTGTTGGTGTGTAATTAATTTGTTCAAAAGAAAACAAAAAGCAAAACAAGAAACTTGGTTCCAGCTGAAGCCTATTTTAATTTTATTTTATTATTTTCCTCTTGTTAGAAATAAAACCCTTAGCAACGTTTTTTGGAAACATGTTTCTGAAGTGCATTTCTCTTCGAAGGGGAGAACAGTGAGTCCTCCATCGCCCGACAGTGGAGCAGCTGCCTGGCTGGCTGCTGGGCTCTGGAACCGAGTTCCACCAGGTTCTCCTTACCTGGAGGGAGGACATCCCGAGTCTCCCCACATCCCCAAGCCAGTTTCCCCACCTCCCCGCAGATGGCCCTGCACCTCTCGCTTAACTCCTGCCGTTGTCTGTCCTCCTCAAGCCCCAGAGTGATTTTTTGGCTTTATTGAGGTCTCATTTACACACCCTAAAATGTACCTGCTTTAAATGTACAATTCAGTAGATCAGAGGGATGTTTCTAAAGCGCAGATCTGATCATGTCACTCTACTGCTTAAAACTGTCCGTGATGCTTCATTGTCCTGAAGACCAAGATTATATATATAATCTCATTCTTTCTGGAATGCTTCCTGGCCAATCCATACGCCAGTCAGGGACCCTGCCCTGATTTTTCTCCGCCCTCAAGGGTTCTTTCTGCCCCTTGAGTGGGACTAAAGCTCAGATGTGTGGTCATTTGCAACCTGAATGCACTTTTGAAAAACAGCTTTATTGTAATGTAATTTACATACTGTGCAGTTCACCCACTTAAACTATACAGTTCAGTGGCTTACATTCCAGTTGTGCAACCATCATCGCAAGAGATTTTAGAATTGTTTCATCATTCTAAAAAGGAATTCCACACTCCTTGGGCATCCATCCCTCCCCCCCGTTTCCCATTCCTAGGCCACCAGTAATCTCTATGGATTTGCCTATTTTGAACATTTTATATAAACGGAATCATACAATATGTGATCCTTTGTGACTGTTCTTTCACTCAGCATATTCGAGCCGAATTCACTTTTAAATGTAGATATTGATGGCGTCTTTATTTTGGGCAGATGTTTTCCCTTTCTGGGCCCCAAAGTGAAGGTGGTGGACTGGATTAGGGATCATCACAGGAGGGTGTTTACATGTTTATGTGGGGCTTTGCATGCATGTTCTTCTGGCAAGGAGACTAGCCAGCTTGCATCCCATTTATAAAGGGGTCCTTTTCCCTCCAAAGGCAAGAACGACTCTGGTCCTGAATGTTCTGTGTTCACTCTGCCCATGAAGATACAGAAGAGGAAGCCAGAGCAATGGGGCTGCTTCAGTGGGACAGCCCACGAGCTTCCTGTTGGGCCTGCTTCCACAAGGGCTGTTCCTCCTGGGGGGCTGGGCGCTGCACCAAGGGCTTAAAGGCTAAAGATTGATGCCTACCTAGCCCAGGAGCCCAGCACACTGCCACTCTGGCCTTTGTCGTGGGAATACTCAGTGGGCTCTCTCTGCTCCATGTCTGTTGATAGGAACCTGGTGGTGAAAGCCCACCTCTTCTGGCAGCTTTGATTGATGGGAGGGTTGGGCTCAGCGCTGCCTCCCTTCCTCTTGTAATTGGGAGGCCCTGGGCTGGACAAGTAAGGGAGGCAGGGACCCCTGGACAATTCTGTCCTGGACCCAGTTTGACCCCAGGTCCCA